GATTTCGACTTAAAAAATCTTCACAGAAACACAATTAGGTACTTAGCGAGCTTGAGGCTTTTGTCATTAGAAGGAAGTAGTAGTTTTCCAGCTTTGTTACGTAGTTGTGGACGATTTTTTTTTTGGTTAATTCAAAGATGTAGGAATTTAAAAACGTATGAAATGAAGTACGGGTTTGATTCCCGCCTTGGGCAGTTCGATTTTTTCAAGTTGTTTATTTAATTTCGTATGAAGTTAGTTAAAAATAAGCTGTTAGGATTTTGTGCTTTATATGAAACTAGCTTATGAATTTTAAGGTATGAAATACGATACCTTCAAATTCAATATCGAACCAAAAGTAAGATAATGAACGGTAAAAATGAAAAGGTGACCCTTATAGACCTTCCTTACCTGCCTCGTCATTTTTAGGGCCCAGCATCGCTTCGCTGGTAAGGCCTCTTCAAATGCAATCGCAATAACTTTGCTAATGTAAAATAAATATCCCAATAATGTTCTTTCCCTTTCATCGTTTAACGAGTGGGCTTGTAAAATTGACGGAAAAAGATTTAAGGTTAAGGGCGATGAGAGTATGGACGACAGCACATCAAGTTTAACACATGGTATCGTACTCTTTGCAATAAGGGTTATTTTGCAACAAACAAGTTTAGTCTGATGTGCGTTTGACTGTACATACGTTGTCGATCACGTAGGCAAGCTTCTAAGCTTTTTATCTCACGTTTTTCAGCTGAAATGTTTATTTGTGACTTAAGCACGCACGTGCCTGTTAATGAATGCAGAATATTTATTAGGTGTTCTATCTCGCTGCTCGGCCTGTCGAGATGGAAAATATTTTGTAAAATGTGGTTAAAGCGAGCATGAAAGCTTATTGTTTTAACTCTTAGGACAGAATTTAATAGAATTTTGTGTATTCCAACAGTGGTTAATTTATCCAAATACGAAACAAATTAATGTATTAAATTCATAAACAAACCCTAGCGCTGGTAGGGTAAAAAGATTATGAGACATGTAGTGTAGAGGCTCCTTAAGAGCAAAATATTTGACGATTTGTAAGAACTATTTAATAGTCTATACAAATGAAGAAATTTTGACTTTGACTTTGACCAAATTCTCGTAAGGAACTCTTTGTTTTATTTTGGTGAAAAAAAAAAAGAAAAATGGCACATTTTTGATGGAAAGAAAAATATACAATCATAATCACCGGAACACAAAAAATCTCTGCCGGGATAACAAACGACAATCAACGCCGTACCATTACCATTACTTCATAAAGTGGCGACTCAGTAAAAACTTGTTCTTTGCCCCATGGTGCGCGAGAGACTAATTTACCTACGGAAATCTTTTCACGGACTTATCTTCTATGACAACGGCCACACAACTACAAAAAGTAGGTTACCGTAAGGTTTATTCGAATTGAAGATATCATATTACTTATGATATTACCTATATTTATCATAATACTTATGAATACGGTATTCTACGAATATCAAAACAAATGCCAACAATAAAATAATAGAGTTCAGGTTTATTAATATTTAGACTTGGCCTATCGCTTATGTAGAACGAAACGTATATTTTAAAGTAGGTATTCAGATAATGCGAGTATGGTATAATACAGGGTGTCCCAAAAACAATGGATAACCCTGTAACTATCGATAGGCCTCGCCATGGGATAACATCAAATTTTGACCCTAATAAAAATATCACCGTTTTCAAGATTTTTAAGTTTTTGTGGATTTTCAGAACATTGCCACCTGCGATTTTTTCTCATTCCATTTCTACAAATGAGGATATTTTTGAATGTAGTTTTTTTTCTTTATTAGTTTAAAAGAGTAATAGTCGTCATGGTTGGAGGTTTGGATGTTTACAGGGTTATCCATTGTTTTTGGGACACCCTGTATATACAATAGACACCTCAAAGTTTGAGCTTTGTTTCATAAAGGACGAATCTAATCAATAATGTATATTTACTTAGGTAAGCAACTTTTTTATTTGCCACCCATGATGCCTGCAGGGGATCTCTCCCCAAAGGAGTATCGTTTTACTTATTTATTATGGCTTTAGGCGTTTACATCCCTTCCTGTTTGTTCAGGGACCGTGATGTTTACAGTAGTTTTCTATCTTGACATTTCTTTTTATTACATTTAATGGAACCTCGGCAACGGCCTTGTCTATTCAACTACTTACCCTTCTCAGCGACTCTGCTTGCTTGCACTTCATTTGTCTGTGATATACTTTATCATAGATAAATCCTCGAGAACCCCCAAGATAAGAGGTTACCCATGTCACTTGGGAACAGTTTTGATTAGGTATTACAAATGCAGATGAACCTAATTTAAGTTTGTATTTATAGTTAATTGGTTGACCAAAGGCTTCTATGTGAATGTAGACTATCGAAAACTGAAGTTATTGCTTTGGGAAATTTAACTCATTTAGTTCATTCCGAGCAAGCGAGAGGAGCAGCAGTCCCAAAGACTGCAGTAGACAAACTAACACTCATATCAGCTAGTGAAACTGATAAAACGTCGATATTGATGAGCACATTTTGTTTACTTAGGTAGGCCTTATTAAAAATGCATTTAGATAAGAAAGTACCTAGGTAATTAACGCGCGTTCGCGCTCTGACATATTTTTTTTTCAATACAACTTGTGAAAAATGATCGCTTCTTTTAAAGATAAGACCGTCTAAATTGTGGCATTTCTCAAATGTCCCATCCAATTTACATAAAACAAAACCAGCAATGACCAGNAACCGTACAACTGGAAAGCTTTATTAGTAATGTGATTGACATGAACGTCAAAGTGGAGCTTAGTATCCATAAATACACCGAGGTCTCTTAGCAGTGTTACCTTTTCCAAGGGTTTGTCATCAAGTGAGTACTGGAAATTGATTTTATTAGTTTTTTTGGTGAAGGTTATTGATTTACACTTTGGCAGGCTGAGGTGAAGTTTATTGTCCTTACAGTAGTTGGAGAAACGGCAGAGATCTTCTTGCAATTTATAACAATCATCTAAGGTAGTGATTTTACGAAAAAATTTTAGGTCATCAGCGTATAGTAAGAATTTAGAGTATTTAAAGCAGTGATTTACATCGATCACAAATATGACAAAAAGTAAAGGTCCTAATATTGAACCCTGTGCTACACCAGAGGTTACTTTTATTTTGTTTGAACTGTAACCGTTGAGGACAACTCTTTGAGTTCTATTTCTAACATAAGAAGAGAACCACCTCAGTAAGTTCCCTCTGATACCATTAAAAGCCAGCTTTCTCAGAAGAATGTCATGGTCCACCTTATCGAAGGCCTTGCAGAAATCAGTATAGATCGAGTCTACCTGTACACGTGAGTCAAAGGATTCAAATAAAAAGTTGGTGTAAAGAGTAAGGTTACTAATAGTTGACCTATTTTTAACGAAACCGTGTTGTTCCTCAATAATGATTTTGTGCAAGTGAGGATAGATGTAGTTGTGTACTATGCGCTCAAGCAAGAACCTTCGACAATGTGGACAATAACGATATGGGACGATAATTAGTGACGTCATTCCGACTGCCCCCTTTGTAAATAGGTACTATGTTTGCAGATTTCCAGACTTCTGGAACAACACCCTCTTGTAAGCTTCTGTTGTACAATATGTGCAAAGGTTCTGCAATAGCGTCAGAAGTACACCTTAAGAAAAAGGGAGACAACCCGTCAGGTCCTGGTCCTTTGGTTACATCTAAGGATTTCAGGTTTCTGACAATGATATCTTTAGGTATGTACATGTCCTTGAGAATTGAGTCACAGTTCTCGTTAAATTGTGAATTTTCTGGATCAGTATCGCTATCACTATGTTCGTAGACAGATGAAAAAAATTTGGAAAATAAATTACAAATCTGTTCTGGGTCATCTGATTCGACATCACTATATATCATTGATGAAGGAACACTAGAAGTCTTATTTTTAGTAGCGTTAATGTAAGACCAGAATTTTTTAATATTGTTCTTTATTCCTTCCTCTACAGAGTCAATGTATTTATCAAAACATAATTTACTTTGTGTTTTGAATCTGTCACGAAATAAAGAAAATTCTTCATAATGGAGTTTTGAATTAGATTTTTTCCATTTAATCCAAGCCTTTTCTTTATCTTTAAAAATATGTATAAGGGGGCGAGAGAACCATATAGGGTAATTATTTGATTTAGTACTTCTCATCGGTACGTGTTTCCTTATTATTTCATATATTTTTTCATAGAAAGTACTTACTGACGTTTCTAAGGGCAAGCATGTTAATATATCAGTCCAGTTTGTGGTACTGATACATTCATTTATAGCCGAGTATCGAAATTTAAGAATAGATGGGAGTTTCATGGGTGTACTAGGGGACTCAGAGGAGATTTTTACATAAAAAGGAGGATGCAAGTTATCCTGTGGCACCAATAGGTTAGAGGGATGTTCGCAAATGCAAGTGTATTCATTGGATATGAATAGATCTAGTGTGCGGCCCATAGTATTTTGAATGTAATTTAATTGTTTACTATTTGTAGAATTTAGAAAAAGGAATATTGAGTCACTCAAAGAATCATCTTCATCGTAAGGGTAAGAGTAAAAAGNATGACCAGTGTAAGATTACTACACTTATTTTGTGCAATAATATAATTTTTGTTTTAAAATACGCAATGACAGTGACGAGTATCTGATACTGTTATTTTGGAACTAGTATATTACTTGTGACTTTATTCCTTTGCCTGTGAAATATGACATTTAAAAAGATATCACAGATACTCGTCACTTGCCATCGAGCTGTTGAGCGGAACGGACATTATTGTAATAATCGTGCGAAGACGGAAATAAATCCAAGAAAATCACACCAGTCGTCGTTTCATTTCTGAGTTTGAGATCCAATCTTTCAACTCAGAAGTGGGATCGATATAACACACCCACTATTTTCAAGAAATAGCACTCGGACATTTTTTTTTTCTTCTACCACCAACATTTTTGAATTTGCAACGGAAACCGGTAACAAGTCATGGATGAAGTTCAAGATGATAGCAAAAGTTCTCGAAAAAGCCGTTCTCGATATACTCCGGACATTGAAGAACCAAGACACAAGCGTCGTCGTGAACATGCAGGAAGCTTGGATAAATCGCTGAAATCGAAGCGTCCCAGACGTCGTAGAATCTCACGTAGTGTATCAACCGAAACAAGTGAACGAGAAAGTCGATCGATGACGCGGAGGAAAAGGAGAAAATCCCGGAAACCGAGCCGCAGACGCAGACATGAACACCGACCAAGCCGCAGCACGGAGAGGAGCCGAGGAGAGAAGCAACGTTCAAGGCGCAGGCGCAGGCACGTATCATCTGATCGTGGGAGCAGCTCATCGAGTAGCACCGTAAGTGGAACACCATCACCAGGTAAGAAATCTCATGTTTTTGCTAATAGTGAAACTCAGTTGTTTTTGACAGAATTAGTTAAATCATTGACTAATACTAAGCCAGAGGGCAATAAGTTTCCAATGCTGGGCAATGTCATACCCGAATTCGACCCTATGGTTAAAGGGCAAACAATACATATGTGGCTTAATAAAGTGGAGGAATGTGCGAAGTTATATAATTGGGGTAATGACCAAATTATTCATTATGCTCTGCCACGCTTGGTAGGGGTCGCGCGTACATGGTATCAAGCATTGCCTACGATGTCATTTTCCTGGCCTGAGTGGAAAAATAAACTTGTTGATTCCTTTCCTAGTAGTGATGATTATGCGGAATTGTTGACCGAGATGTTGTCTAAGCGAGTAAAATATAATGAATCACTTGAAATGTACTATTACGAGAAAATTAATTTATTAAATCGTTGCGAAATATTTGGAAAGCGAGCCGTTGATTGCTTATTGTATGGTATAGAGGATCGTTCTTTGAGGTTAGGTGCGAAGGCAGCTAAATGCCAGGAACCGGAACAAGTGCTTAATTATTTTCAATCGATAAAACAACAATCTAGGGAAAGTGAAAGAATAAAGATGACTGGACAAGATAAACGGAGTTTAGGTAGTAACGTTAATCCGAACCAAAAACAATTTACAAATAGTGACGGAAAACCCAGGACTCAAACTAGTGCATCGATCGTTTGCTATAATTGTAGTGAGCCTGGTCATTTCAGTTTCAAGTGTCCCAAAAAGATACTAAAATGTAATGTTTGTAATAGACTAGGGCATTCAACGATTAATTGCCCACGGTTACCAACTGAGACAAATAAAAATAACGAGAAAACGTCAGACAAACTTGTGATGCAAATTAATTTAGATAATTCTGGTAATAACAAGTATTTTATTCCGGTGAAAATAAATGGTAATACAACAGACGGATATANAAAAGTTATTACGTTTTCTTTACAATAAGTACTTGAAAGAAAAAAAAATCTATAAAAAATTAAAAAAAAATCTCAAAAAATTTTTGACCACTTTTTTGTCGATAAAAATAGGTCTAGTTTCATCTATTTTCATATGTACACTTTAACGTGACTCACACTGTATAGACCTTGGTAGTCAATGTACATTGATCCAACGTAGTGAAGCAGTGAAAATGGGAATTAGTTGGTCTACTGGAGAATTACCGGCTATGAGGGGTTTAGGAAACAATATAACTGTACCTATAGGTTTAGCACATGTGGAAGTTGAGATTCATGACATTACAGAGAAAGTTGACGCTTACATAGTTGAGGATGGTGTTATTAAATATCCAGTATTGATTGGGCATAGTTTTACTGAAAAACCGGGGATTATTATAATTAAAACATCTGATAATTTAACGTTTAAAAGAGAAGATAATACGAAATTACATTTATTTTTAAAGGATAATGTTGAGGTTCAACCAAACCAAATGATGACTATACCGATATTTTCAGATTCTAATTACTCAGGGCCCATATATGTTAGAGGTTCAGTTAGAGGTTTGCCTGACAGTGAATTTTATTTATTACCTGGAGAATATAATTTAGAAAATGGTGCAGGAGTGTTATTAGTTCACAACTTCAGTAGTAAATTACTAATTTTGAGTAAAGATTCCTTAATCACCCGAGTCGTTACTACTACAAATTATTTAGATGTTAATATAATAGATTTTAGTGATCCTAATGTTGATTCAGAATTAAACTTTGGTGAACATTTAAATAAAGGTGAAATTGAAGAGCTGAAAGGTCTGCTCAAACGATATGAGTGTTGTTTTTCTTCGGGCTTACACGATTTAGGATACACTAATGTAGTACAAATGGAAATTAAGTTGACTGATAGTCAACCTGTCGTTTACCGTCCATATAGACTGTCATTTCCGGAACGTGAGTTAGTGCGATCTATGGTACAAGAGATGATTGATGCTGATATCGTGTGTGAATCCAATTCACCTTATGCTAGTCCTATACTTCTAGTAAAGAAGAAAACTGGCGAAAAGCGACTTTGTGTCGATTTTAGGGCCCTAAATAATAAAACTCGTAAGGAGCATTATCCTTTACCATTAATTGACGACCAATTGGATAGGTTATCAGGAAATTCTCTATTTATTAGTCTTGACCTAGCGTCGGGATATTACCAAATTCCGATTGACGAAACTTCCCAGCATTTAACATCATTTGTAACTCCCGACGGCCAGTATCAATTTTAAAGAATGCCCTTTGGGTTAGCGAACGCCCCTTCCATTTTCCAAAGGGCTATGAATAAGGTACTTTCAAAGCTAAGATACGTAATAATTTACATGGACGATATTCTTATTCCTGCGCGTTCATTTGAGGAGGGTCTCGTGCGTTTGGAAGAAGTATTCAAACTCTTAGCTGAAGCAGGCTTTACACTAAAATTAAAGAAATGTTACTTCTTCCAAAAGGAACTCGAGTTCTTAGGATTTCACGTGTCCGAAAATGGTATCCGGCCGGGTTTAAGGAAAACACTTGCTATTTCTAATTTTCCTGTGCCACGAAATGTTCACGATGTCAGACGTTTTATAGGACTTGCGAGTTTCTTTCGTAGATTCGTAAAAGATTTTGCATTATTAGCCTGCCCCTTGACAGATCTTCTTAAATCTAAGTTTGAGTGGAATTGGACTGATGAACATACAAAAGCGTTTAATAACCTTAAAGAAAAATTGATAGACCGACCTGTATTAGCTTTGTTTAATCCTAATTACGAAACCGAATTACACACAGACGCGTCAAAAATTGGTGTTGCTGGTATACTTATGCAAAAGGACAAAGATGGACAGTTTCGACCAGTAGCTTATTATAGTCGAAAAACGTCTGAGGATGNGGAGAGAAGCAACGTTCAAGGCGCAGGCGCAGGCACGTATCATCTGATCGTGGGAGCAGCTCATCGAGTAGCACCGTAAGTTTTTTTTTTTTTTTTTTTTTATTTAACAACTTAAAGAAAGTTACATTGAGACAATTACATTTAGATAGCTTTAAAAACCACTAGGGTTTGATGTAAAGCTAACGAGTTTGCAGTGGGTACATTCACAATTTCACATACAATTACATAAATACAGCATAAAAACATTTTAATATTGTTACATTAGCTTTAAGAAATAGTCCTTCAGCTTATATTTAATATTTTTGACAGTGATTTCTTTCACAAATTCGGGTGGCATGCTATTTATAATCCGGGGCAGTAGGTATTCGACTGTGCGTGCGCCGTACGCGTTGTTGGCGCGCGGCTGCCACAGCCGGTTTTTAGATATCGCTCGAGTGCATACAGGGTGGTCGACCCGAGTTTTAAAAGACTCATTAAAAAAGTGCTCTTTTAATAAGGTGCATTGTATTTGTGTATGGATCGGTAATATCTTACAGTATTTAAAGAGGCCAGAGACGTTGTCTTGGAATTTAATTTTAATTTTGTTGGGCACTATGGTTTTAAGTATTTTAAGTTGTAAGTTAAAAATCTGGTCAAGATATGATTTGTAACTTCGCCCGTAACTACTAAGTCCGTATTGAATATATGACTCGGCAAGCGCGTTGTACAGCATTAACTTAACCTTGAATGGAATGCGATTATTCAGAATGGTGATGTTTGCTAAAAATTGCCTAAGCTTAGTACAGACACGTTCAATGTGGGTACTCCAGTGGAATTTATGGTTGATAACTAGACCAAGATATGTTTGGTTATCGACCTTGTCTATTTGTGGGCATCTGCAAATAGTTGTGTTTGTGCTCATAGTATGTAGCCACCAATTCTATGGTCGGTGTACTATGTATTATGTAAGGAGATTTGATTATAAGAAGCTTTGTTTTATTTGCATTAAGGACAAGTCCAGCGTCATGACACCATCGAATTAAAGCATCAAGGTCCATTTGCAAGAGTTTACCGGCTATTTGTGGGTCTTTATTAGCTATTACTAGGCAAGTGTCGTCAGCAAACTGGTAGCACGTGCTGTTTATAATACAGCCGCTCATGTCGTTGACGTAAGACAAGAAATGCAGGGGCCCTAGCACAGAACCCTGGGCCGTGCCCTCCGTCACCGGCAAGGGCGTACTGTAGTTGTTATCCAGCTTCACAGAAAAGGATCGGTTCCTTAAGTATGCTTGACACCATTTTAGCAATGGGCCACGAACTCCGCACCTGTCCAATTTGTCCACTAGCTGGTCGTGCTTGAGCGTGTCAAAAGCACGTGAGAAGTCAATAAATAAGGCCAGTACTTGTCTTTGCTCATTTAGGTGACTATTTACTTCGTCAGTAAACTTTGATAAGAGACTATGAGTACCCTTACCTGACTGGAAACCAAATTGGCACGAGCTAATTACTTCATGTTTCCTATAGAAATCGTGTATCTGTTCACACATGTATTTTTCTATTATTTTGTCGATTGACGAAAGCAAGGTGATAGGCCGATAATTAGTGTAATCATCACGCTTACCTTTTTTATATACTGGCCTTACACAACCTTCCTTCAGTTTGTCGGGATAAGCTCCAGTCTTGACGCTGTTATTAATTAAGTTAGTTATAGTCTGCGAGATGGGTTCTCCTATTACCTTAATATCTGAGATCGTGACGTTATCGAGTCCTGGTGCCTTATTGGAGTTTAAGTCTTTTATAATTTTATGGACATTTATAGGCGTCGCTTTTTTGAAAAGAATACTTGAATTTAATGATTGAGATGTAGTGTTTTTAACTAATTTAATTTTACAGTTTGGGATAATGCTTTTTACTGCATAATCAAAGCTATTCGCAAAATTTTCTGCAATAGTCTTAGAATTAAGTCCCTGAGCATTAAAAGCTTTGTGTATAGCATTATCAATCGATAAATTAACTCTGCCTAACATTTGGTTAACAATACCATATACTTTTTTAATATTTGTATAGTTATTATTTATTTCCTTGATATAATAGTTATTTCTTTTATATTCGAGAACCTTGTGTACTTTATTTCGGACTTTGTTATATTCTAGTTTAAGCGTATAATTATCCTGCTGGTTTTTTAAAATACGGTATAGATTATCTCTCTTTTTACATAATCTAGTGACATTTTCGTCAATCCAAGGTACATGAAATCGTTTAGCAAAATTAATGGTTGGCTTATATTTTTGAGTTTTGGTTGCAGTTATTGTAGCTGATTGAAAAGAGTCGTGTATAAAATTTAATATCTCATCCGGGCAATTCATATCATTTGACTTAGACCAATCTACTTTTTTAAGTTCATCGTAAAAAATCCGGTAGTCAATCAAACATTTAGTCCCACCCTGTATTCGCCTCGGCGTTATAGGAGCGTCGTCGACGCACGCAAAGATGATGCCTCTGTGATCGGCCAGTACTGTGTCGAGCACCGCCGAGGACGGATGAAGCGTGGGGAAGCGAGCAAAAATGTGATCTATGCACGATTTAGTGATTAAGTTTTTATGCGGTTCAATTCTAGTGTACTCTGAAATCCCACACATCAATCCGTGCTCGCTAAGTGCTTCCATATATGCATCCTTGTATGAAGTTGCCCTTTTTAAATCGATATTAGTGTCGCCGATCAATAGAAAATTGTGTTTCAAATCGTATTTAGAGATGTGGTTGTTTAACTCGTTAACAAACAGGTTTTTGTTAGTGGATGGTGGTCTATAGACAGCACACACAACGACAGTTAATCTTGCATCAAGTTTTAGTATGCCCGTGATATTTTCGAACGTTTTAGTTTCATGTTGCATTTGTATAGTGAATTTAAGATAGTTTCGAACGTAAATTATGATACCACCTCCCTTTTTATTTTTACGTAGTTGTGAGTGCATAGTATAGCCCGTTAGGTTATATAAATTAATGATATCGTTAGAAATACCGACTTCCGTAATTACAATTATATCTAAGTTATAGGTACAGTCATGAATAATTTGCTGTAGTTTAGTAAAATTTTTAATTAATGATCTAATATTAAAGTGTAGGCATGAAATATTGATAAAGCTGTTGGAAGTTACTAGTTGCTGGAAAAACATGTTAGGGGAGACACAATTATTGATTTCATTAATTTGCGTATCCATATTTTATTAATTATTTATAGTATATAATAAAAGTAGGTAGTAAGTAAGTAGTTTTACAGCGTTACAGTTTTAGATGGTTTAGATTGTCTATTGTCTAAGGATGAGCTATGTTTTACAATTTGATTTATATCATTCATAGTACGTATGTAATAAATTTTGCTGTTATTTGTCTTTCGAGCGCATACCCTCCCATTTTTACACCAAACAAATTGACATGATTTATTGAGTAGTTGGGTTTTAGCATTAAATAATAAGGATTTTTGGTACTTGGTTAGGGCTTCTCTGATGAAAACTCGTCTATCAGCTGTCTCTTTGGGGGCGTTGGGCATCAGCATTCCCACGGTGATACATTTATCCTTCCCCGCGTCTATCCATTTTTGTTGTACGGTCTTCGACTTCATTTCGACCATAATTGATCCTGGTTTGTCTTTTGCTCCTGGCATTCGTTGCGCTGACTGCACATCGTTCTGTTCCATATTCAATGCAGAGGCGATTGTTTCAGTTAGGGCGATGACCTCGCTGGGGCTTATATCTGGTAAGCCCGCAACTTCCAGTGAACTAGAGAGGGATTTTTGTTCAAGTTCTCTATGTCCCTGTTCTAAAACAGATACCCGCAACTCCAAGTTTTTGTTTTGGTTTATCAAGTCGTAATTTTTATTTTCAAGCTCTTTGATTCTGGTGTCCTGCTTTTTTATGCTTTGCTCCATGGTTGTAAGTTGCTCACTTAGATACTCCAATGAGGTCTCAAGACCGCTGATCTCCTCTCGAAAAGTTTTCTTCACCTCACGGCTAATATCTTCTACCAGTTTGTCTGCATCGATGAGTTGGTGGCGCGAGGGACCGTCGTCGCTATCCTCCTCCTCAGCGTCCTCATCAGGGGTGATGAATGATGATCTACGAGATAAGTTTTTAAGGCATTCCTCGCAGCTCCACTCTATGCCTGGCGAATTCTTAAGAGTGTTCAGCTGCTTGTTGGATAGCTTGGAGCACGCTGGATCCGCATGCACTATTACATCGCACCTGCTACATTCCAGTCCCGGCGTTTTTTTGGTAATGCTTTTTTTACACCGTAAGCACTTTTTTAGAACCATTTCGAAAGTGGGTAGTTTTAGAAATGTATGCGTAGACTGTGCGCGTCTTAACTCGTCAGGTTTAGAATGCGAACTAAACAATGGAACACCATCACCAGGTAAGAAATCTCATGTTTTTGCTAATAGTGAAACTCAGTTGTTTTTGAGAGAATTAGTTAAATCATTGAGTAATACTAAGCCAGAGGGCAATAAGTTTCCAATGCTGGGCAATGTCATACCCGAATTTGACCATATGGTTAAAGGGCAAACAATACATATGTGGCTTAATAAAGTGGAGGAATGTGCGAAGTTATATAATTGGGGTAATGATCAAATTATTCATTATGCTCTGCCACGCTTGGTAGGGGTCGCGCGTACATGGTATCAAGCATTGCCTACGATGTCATTTTCCTGGCCTGAGTGGAAAAATAAACTTGTTGATTCCTTTCCTAGTAGTGATGATTATGCGGAATTGTTGACCGAGATGAGTAGATGAAGATTAGGGTATCTGGATCCAACCATTCAGGATCCAGATACCCTAATCTTCATCTTTTCAACAACATTTACTTATTTTATGATCAGACTACAACAGCATATATTTTATGATCAGACTAGATCAGAAAATTAAAATCTCTTTAATGTATACTTGAATCATGAGTTTTGACGAGCTTGCATTCATTGTGAGACTTGATCACTTGGCACGCAACTCTAGCGAAGCGAGAGCTAGTGAAATTTCATTTTTATGTGTTCAGGTATTCTGACACGATTAAAGTAAAAAAATAATAATAAGTTTCATATGTATAACATATTATTTCCAAGATAGAAAGTAGCCTATAACATGTTATTCCATTCCATCTCTATATCAAGTTCATATACGTTCAGCCGTTCTAACGTAATTGAGTCAGCTAAATATAATATGTTGTTAAAGTAGCCTATGCGTTGTTTTAGACTATATTCTATATTTTATGAAATTTCATCCATATAACTATCCGTTTAACTGTAAATGTGTAAAAAAACATAAAATCATATCTAAACCTTTAGACTTTTATTACGAATATGAAACTGATTTATAAGATATAATATCTAGGTATTTGTTGTTAATAGTATTCAATTCAGCTTAAATAAGAGGTTTATGTTTAGTTAAGTTCTTAATAAAATTGAATACATTTACACTTTTTTTTATTTAAATAATTTAGGTTTTGCTAAAATGAAACAGTTTATTGATTAAACACATAACACATTTATTTATCATTTAAAATATTTTTAAAACAGTAATTAGCTCTCATTATTTACATAATAATTAAAGTAACACTAAACTAATAATAAGTACAGTACAATCATATTGCTACATTTTTTTCAACACACCATTTCTTTATACATATTACATTTTTTAATGCACATACTTTTTCATGGTTAACACAGTTAAATAATTTGGGATTATCTAAACAATAAAGATTGTAAAGAGTATTTAAACTAGGAGCACCTAGACAAGTTACATCCATTACACTATTTTGATTACATAAATTATGCACCCATTTAATCTTTTCATCTCCTTTCACAAGAATATGTTTACCTTTTAAATAAGGTACGATAATTCTTTGAAACTCTCTGTAGTCAATATGTCCTTCGTTCCACCGATAGCCTCTGTTCTTTTCGATCCAGCAAACTTGTCTTTTCTCTTCAATAGTTAATGAACAGAATGGGTATGGAGGTTTGATTAAAAATAGATGGGTATGCTCTTGAGTAGCTATAGCAAATTCTTTTATTATAAATTCATTTCTATTTTTTTAAATCCTTGCAGATCGACAACTATATTGCTATTCATGATATTTTCTTAACGATGTTACTCAAAGGTTTGTATTCGAATATACAATCGTTTAAAATCAAACAATAAGCAGATGTCTGATCTGGTATTTCTTGGTCTGTTTCGATTTCAACTCTCACATCGATTGAACCTTTTAAAGTTTCGTGTTGTCTCGAACAGTCGATAACAATTAAAGGAGCTATGTCTCTGAATTCTTTCAAACTTAACAACGGCTCTGACCGACGTCCGTAATACGACTGTTGAAATCTTGCATACTGATCGTATAATAAAGAAAACCTATCTTCTGAAAAACTAACATTTAGTCCTTCATACGGATAATATGATGAATTTAAAAACACTCTTACATCACGCACATGACAATGATCAAACTCTGCCATTGACAATGCAACATTATGTTTACGGTTGGTTTGTATGAGTGGAGTCACGGCTGCCGTCGGGCATAGATCGTGATATTAAACGTCCGTCAAATTTACGTTAAAATCGAACTAAAAGTGAATACACAGTGTCAAATACGCAAAAAAACAGTGACTACATACATTGTTAACACTATGGCACGCTTATATTAATAATTTATAGTGTTTGTGAACAATAATTTACCAATAACATCTCAGTGTCTAAATATCACTAACGGCGTTCAAATAACTGGCGGACCGTTGGGCGGAACGCGTAAGCGACGCTCGGTGCACGGCGCTTACGTTCTTTTTCTCGCGACCTGCGCATACTCAGCTATACCGGGGCGCTCGTCGCGTTGCTACAAAACACAGAACTCACGGACTACCTACCGATTTGTTTACAATCCACTCGACTCAAATAAAATTAACATCTGCGATGGCCACTTGTATGGGATGTAAGACTCGAGTTGCGCTTGAACAAGCTCTGCGCTGTACGTCATGTGACGACTACTATGACTATAAATGTCTTAACATACCAGCAGAAAATTTCACAAAAATGCCAATGACATCGAGGCGCCAGTGGCGGTGTCCGTGCTGTGTAAACGTCACAAGACGAAGGGGAGACAACACTAACACCCCGGTCCGCCGTGCTGTGGACACACTAAACGAAACCGGCATGTCTTGTGACGAATCATTTCTCGAAACATCAACACTCGCAGCGGACGTGCAGTGCGCCAGGTTGCAGGACGGGACTGCCATGACAGCGACATCCCAGGAGTACGTCGCTGTCGGCTGTGTCGGCGAGCTCATCGCTCGCGAATCAGCAAAAATGAAAGAATATCTCGATCAAAGACTAGCAACTATTATAGAAGAAACCATCAAGCGTCAGATGGACTCGGTCATGCAAAGTTGGAGGTTAGAACTAGATCAGGCGTTTGGTCAAATTAACTCTCAACAAAATGAGCTAAAAAATCGCCTCGACAGCGCCACAAAGAAAATCACGGAACTTGAAGCGGAAAAGACCAGACTAGAGCAGGAATTGTTGGTTGGAATAGCTGGATCGGTCGCTGACCTACAGAAACAACTTCTGGCCCGTGAACAGGAAAGTATGAAAAACGACTTGGAGATTGTGGGAGTTGCTGAACACCAAAATGAAAACTTGAGCCATATCGTCATAGCGGCTTCGAGGAAAATTGGGGTCGACCTTTGTGATTCTGACCTGGATGAGGTAGTACGAGTAGGGTCGAGAACTCGCAGGAGTTCTCCTAGCGCCACACAGCAACGGCCTCGCCCTATAGTGGTAAGATTGGTGAGAAAGCAAAAGAGAGATCAAGTACTTAAAGCCGCAAAAGCTAGGCATAATGTCACAACCGAGAGTATAGTTAGTGGCCAGCCTACAACTATATTCTTTAACGAGAGACTGTCGAAGGAAAACCGTCGGTTATTTCGTCAAGCCAGAACGCGAGCAAAGGAACATCAATTTCGATACTGCTGGATTCGCCACGGCGGTATCTTAGTCAGGAAAGCAGATGGAAAGCCAGCAATACGGATCTACACTGACGCAGACTTGGAGGAGAAGTTGGGACCTCCAAAACCTTTGGAGGAGAACATCGTCTAGTTGTAAGCTACTGTTATTTGTTTTAAGTTTGGTACAATTTTGTTTTTTGTTTCGTGCTATATTCAACGTAATAGAACGAGTAAAATATACTCGTAGATATCCGATTCATACGTATACACTGAATATGCAAATCTCTTTCACACACTATCACACTTTTTACATATTTTCACTCACATACAAAGTACTACACGGAGGAAGGACCTTCTTCGACGTTGTATTTCCGGGTGAGTGCAGTCTACCAATATCAAACGGCGTTATAAAAGTATCCCCCACGATGTATACAGAAAGTTTTGAAAATGGTTAGTCTAACTAATGATCTTGATGAATCTCTATCAATAGACTGCTACTCGCTGAACAGTATAGATGGTTTCGCTGGCCACTTGTCTATAGAGCATAATTTTAAATCACTCACTCTTAATATCCGAAGCATACAACATAATTTTGATGCATTTATGGTGGCACTGAAGCGTATGAATATAAACCTAGATTTGATAATTTTAACCGAATGCTGGCTCTGCGAGAACACGATTATTCCCCACATGCCTGGATACGTTTCGTATAGAACACACAAATATATTAACAAAAATGGAGGAGTGACTGTTTATGTCAGAAATGATCTCACAGCTCAAGTCGTAGAATCATCGTGCGAAGACTGTAACTGCTTAGAAATCAGCGTCGGCGCTGATTTGCTTGTACTAGGTATTTATCGATCTCCTTCCTTTACGTATGTGTCCAAATTTCTATCATCACTTGATACAATCCTTGACAACGCCAAGAATACTCGAACCATTATACTCGCCGGCGATATTAACCTAGACCTGTGCTCTGTACCTTTGACTGAACAATGTACGGAATACATATCTCTCCTTGCAGAACACCAACTACTCCCAGCTATAAGTAAGCCAACTAGGGCTGAAGCCTGTCTAGACCACTTTTTTATCAAAACTCCCTCGCGCGCATTGGGGCTGGTATGTACCTCCGCCATAACCGACCACTATGTTTGTGTGTTGGGAACAGAGCTGGGGAAGTCCAAACCGACCCCGAAAAGATACCGTATGAAAATAGATCTTGATGCTGTTGTTGATGTTCTCGGCTCGACGGACTGGTCTAAAGTAACTAGCTCTTCCGATGTCAATAAAGCAACAAACGAGTTTGCTGGTGCTATCGATAAAATAATAAGAGATAATACAAAAAAAGTGCAGGTAGCTCGTGCCCGGTACATAATTAAACCATGGATAACACCAGGTCTAATTCGATGCCAAAGAACCAGAGATCGACTCCACCTACAGGCTAGGAAAAATCCACATAACCAAGTAATCCAAATAACATATAAAAGATATCGTAATTTTTTAAGTAACCTTCTGCGTAAAATAAAATCCCAATATGAAAATGAGACACTAATAAGTAACAAAAATAACCCAAAAAAACTATGGTCGACAATTAAAAACATATGTCATTTAAATAAAGTGCACAGAAGTCCAGAAGAACTTATCAAAATTAAATCAGATCCGATAACATCACTAAATTTCTGCAATAGAACACTAGCAGCCACGGGACAAATTTTAGCTAATCACACTCTAGATAAACTTTCGGAAACTGAAGGAAATCTTGCATCGAAAGTTAAATTTACCAAATCGACACTAAATACCTTTTTTATGACCCCTACAGACGAAGACGAAGTTAGCAACCTTATCCTGGACCTTAAACTGGATAGCTCCCCGGGCATCGACAATTGTTCTCCAACACTATTAAAAGCTATAAGACAAAACATTCTAAAACCTCTAACCCATGTATATGTTACGGTTAATGTGATAAATTGAAAATTATTAATAATAACCGGTTATTATGAATAATTCCCGACAGTCGCGGTGAAAGTGATAAATTAATCACATTTAACAGTGATTATTTAATAATTCAACCTTAGTACTAACAAATTTCATAAAAGAGAACATCTTGTGTACGTGTTCGTGTACAGCCAAACTTTTGAGCGTTTTGATATCATATATTAATATAATTTGGCAAAATGAGTTTGGAATGTTTCTTGCATAATATTACTTTTCCATGATGCTTATAACATAATGTTTTGATTTAAAGTGAAAAATAGGTTAAGGTGCGGCGGGGGTGGCCCTTGGGCCACCCCTAAGCCGCCTATTTAGTTTTATACACACATAAATGACCTCATATTAATCACATTTACCAAAACATGCGGTAATTATTCATAATAACCGGCGATTATTCATAATTTTCACATTTATCACTTTGACCGTAACATATATAACTTAAGTTTATCATGCGGAATCTTTCCTGAAAGGTGGAAAATAGCAGTTGTCACGCCTATTTACAAAAATGGGGATAAGAACAACCCAAGCAACTACAGACCAATTTCTTTGCTCGCCATTTTTTCCAAACTATTGGAGAAACTGGTGAATAAAAGAATAACAAAATATTTAAATAAAAATGAACTGATTCCCGAAGAACAGTTTGGCTTCCGCCAAGGCAGGTCGACCGAGGACGCTGTGTCAAGGGTTGTCAATGCTGTTGCAGACGCTTTGGACAGTAACGAGTGTTGCATTGGAGTATTCCTTGACTTGGCTAAGGCCTTTGATACGGTGTCTACACCAATTTTGCTGCGGAAGCTCGATTGTCTGGGGATAAGAGGTGTTGCCCAATGCTGGTTCCGTAGTTATTTAGAAAACCGCAGCCAGTGCACTCGAGTGGGGTTGGTGACTAGCGACCACGAGCCCGTGAACTTTGGAGTGCCACAAGGTAGCATCTTGGGTCCCACGCTGTTCCTCATTTACATGAGTAACATTTTCGAACTGCAAATAGTAAAATCAGATATTATCTGTTATGCAGATGACACGGTTATCCTTTTTAAAGGCCCGTCGTGGGAAGAGGTCTACAGAAGAGCTGAACAGGGCATGGAGACTGTCATCGAGTGGTTGGAAAATAATCTACTGACGCTAAATATAAAACCAAGTACTTAGCATTTCATAAAACCCGTGCATCCCAACCATCACCTCAATATAGACTTGCCCTACACAGTTGCAAAAGGTCAATAATGATAACTCCCGCAAGTTGCAATTGCCATTCTATCGAACGTTTGGGGCACATCAAATATCTGGGTGTAACAATTGATGAGAACCTATCGTATAAACAACATATTTCCAGCTTGTCAGCACGCATTCGTAAAACGATATTTGTAATGAAGTCATTAAGACACTCAGCCCCAGTGCAAACGCTATTACTGGTATATAAATCCTTGTGCCAGTCACTTATAATGTACTGTATTAGAGTTTGGGGAGGTGCAACAAAATCTGCATTTATTGAACTTGAAAGGGCACAACGTGCAGTCCTTAAAGTAATGCTGCGCAAAACATTTAGGTTCAGCACTGACAATCTTTACAGGGAATGTAACGTTCTACGCGTCAGACAACTTTACATACTAAGAGCTGCAACCGCGACACACAGTATCGCTCTAAAATCGCCAGACTACGAACAAATGTTGAAGAGACGTGTTTATAAATATCCCGTTCCAACAGTTCAAACCTCCTTCGCAAAACGTCAACCGCAGAATCTCTTACCCCGGATATATAATGCCATCTGTCGAAAAGTAAATATAAAGGGATCTACTACGTACGAGGCCAAACGTTTGATTGAAACTTGGTTAAAAACACAAGATTATGCTGAGACCGAAGATATTCTAACCTAATCCTCCTTTGACACGCACACACACCCATACACACCAGACACGCACACGTACAGGCACACACACACGCGCACACACACACACACACACACACACACACACACACACACACACACACACACACACACACACACACGCACGCACGCACACACCTTCCTATTACAAATTTTAATTAAGATTTTTAATTAAAACCGAACATTCCAATTTTGTAAAAATGTAAAATATTCTAAATTTCAATTTCCTATTGTTATCAAAATAGTATTTAATTGACTGTTTAATATTACCTTACATATCATTTTGCCACTAGCTTAAAAGTAAAACTGTTTGTCCGACTGCTACTGTAATTTACTTTTAGAGTTGTGTTATTATTTGGCAGCTGCGATACAAGCGTGAGCTTAGTGCAGAAGCCGCTGAAAATGTTAAGTCTGTACTACTTAATAGAAATAAAGCTATTATTTATTAAAAAAAATTTTTTTCTTATATTTTGCGGGGCACCACGTAATTTGAATATATACCATATGAAAGTCTTTCATTTTTTTTTTTTAATTTTTAAAAGACATTTAGGGGTCGCTACCAAGGTTTGAATTTTAAGTAAAAACAAAATCTGTATTTGTTAGATTCATTTATTTTTAAAGCCAAAGCCAAATAAAAATATTACAAAATTATTGTTGTTGCTATGAACTAAGATATTATGTACAATGTACATATTGGAATCAATTATTTTTTAAGATATAAGAGTTTACTTGTTAGTATCTCGACGCGTCGGTACCATGGTCAGTATAGAAGAGGGGTTGAGGGGAGAAGGGGACAAGAAGCGATTGTCTATTCTATCTATGCGATGTTCATTTGCACGTAAAATGTGATATAAACACTTAAATAAAACATTTATGAAACCATGATTTAAGATCTTCAAAGCTTTTGTAAATATTTTGACAGCTGGTAGCGACCTCTAAATCTTAACCAAAAAAAAAACAAAAAAAGCCAATTTCATATTTAGAGGTATGTAATCGAATGAGAAAGTGCCCCGGGGATAATTCAAAAGTCGAAAAATAAGGACCACCCTAATGTAGGTACGATGTTGGCTTCTGTGTTTTTTCTTGACGTTGTTCCCACTTGTTCTCCTTGCTTGGTGCTCTCTTTGGGCCATTCTATTTTGGCTCCTATTCTATTTAATATATCCATGCCGATCAGTATAGTCGTGATTTGTGGATGATATAACACTTGGTGGTTAGATGTTTTTCCTTTTATATTAATTTGCAAGTCTAGTGCTTCTTTAATTCGAGTTGTGTGCCCATCTGTCATGCTAGCTGTTATGCTTACTGTTTTCGGTTTCAGGTTTCTTTTTAAGAATTTCTTGTACACTTGGTCGTTGATGTATGATCTTGTGGCGCCGGTGTCTACGAGTGCTTGATATTTTTCGCCTAGTATCGATACATCTACGAAGGGACGGTTATCTTGAAGTTGCGGACTTGTGTTTATTGTCATGGACTGTGTGTACTCATTTGTTTTCTTACAACACTGTTTACTCATTTTGCCGATCCTGCCACAACCGTTACAAAATAGTACCTTTTTGCTTCTGCAATCTTTCATTGNCCACGAAAAAATGGAATATTACTTCCATGTTCGATTATATCCGCGTCAGTGAGTGCATGTCTAGGTAGCCGCTTAATTAGTTTTTTGAAGGATTCAGATATAAACCTGCTCCATTTTTATGTGGTTTTATATACAACCCCTTTCCGAGAGCCACTGCTTCCATCATTCTATTATGCCTTTCTGATTCCTTTAGACTCTTTTGGGCGGCTTTAGAATCATTAACAGCTTTTGCTATACCAGCCGCTCCTCCAGCAAGAGAACCCAAAGCCGATAACCCAGCAAATATAGGAATAAGTGGTAAAAGCCCTCCGCATTTTGGAAGAGGAATACATCGGGGTAAACGTATTCCTTTTTTATTAACAAAAAGTTTCCATATGCATATTTTATAGCAGAATGGTTATCTTTATATTTATTTCCTTTTAATTCTGATTTTATTTTCTGTATCCCTTTCTTAAATGATGTTTTNGATTATAAAAAATATATGTTTATGTAAGCAACTACTCGTATAGATTGACGAATCGTATGATTGGGCTTTATACGTGGCGTAGTTTTGCACATACGCCTATTTGCCTAAAATTTTATTTTGTATCTAATGGAAAAAAAAAAATTTTTTCTTACTGATGTTATAGATTAGAGCAAAGTGAAATCATTGCTTAAATAATTGGAAAAAGGCGTAAGCGGCAGTTTCGCCCTTATACGTAGGAGCCATCGAAAGAGGCTTGGCTTTGCCCCCCGTGCTTGTGCTCCATCCCGAGAGGCGACAACACAGACGTCCCTGTCGCAAGCCCGGCGAAATTAATGAACCTAAACTCCTCGCCTAACCCAAACGTCAACACTAGGAGAGGTTCCAGCAAGCCCACTAAAGGCAAACGCTCCGAAAACGCGAATCCTACAATTCCCACTGAAGAGATTGCCTCTGAGAACATGAGTTTGGAGTTTCGTCGGCTTAGACAAAAAATGGATGAACAACATTCGGATATCAACTTGCTCAGAATTGACTTTCTGGATGTTAAGCAGCACTTGGCCAGTGTGACAAAACTGATGGAAAGGTTGGAGGCGCAGAAGAAGAAAATAAATGGCCAGGCCTATGAAATAAGCATTCTCAAGACTTCTCTGGCGGAATCACGGTACGCACTGAACCTGCAAGAACAAAATTACCTAAAAAACGAGTTAGAGATCGCGGGTGTACCAGAATCGGAAGGTGAAAACCCACACCACATAGCCCTTGTTACAGCTACAAAGCTGGGAGTGGACCTCTCGGCCGCGGACATTGATTTCGTTCACAGGACTGGTACTAGACAGAACAACTCTGGGAACAAGAATCACCTGCCGCGAACCATTGTTCTGCGCCTGAACAGACGCTCAAAGCGCGAGGAGATTATTAAAGCTGCAAGGAGCCGCCGTAATCTTAATAGCGAGGACATATCATCAGGCCCGGTCACCAGAATATATGTTGATGAAAGATTAACAAAGGCGAACCGCCTGTTGTTTCGTGAGACTAGAACCCGCGCCCTACAGTATGGATTTCGCTATTGCTGGGTTAACAATGGCTATGTCCACGTTCGCCAGGCCGAGAGAAAACCTTCCATTCACATTAAGTCACTCGAAGAGCTGGACCGACTGGTTGGACCATCTCAAGCCAAGGTCTCACAACCTCCTGATGAGTGAAACCATCTACAAACCTACGCTTATTCTTTTTAAAATAATATTATTGCTTCCTCTGTGTCCCATGTATGTATCATTTTATACAACACACCACATCACACCAAATAAAAGTCGTGCTCACACATGCCCACCTCTGCACTTGCCACTCAACACTATCACACTCTCAACAAAATCGATCACTCAATCTTACAAAATTAAANCTCTTTTAAGCCAAGAGTTTTTTTTAAACTATGATTCCCGATTTTTAGGATGTCATCATCATCATAGACGCGAGTTGTACCAAGCATAAGTTTCCCATGTTCATTTCGAACACCATAAGGTACATCTTTTAGTACTTCAGATGATATAGACCATGATAAAGAATCATTTGGAATACTTGGTGATGACTGAAGTGATTTAAANAGCCCCGCAAATATAGGAATAAGTGGTAAAAACCCTCCACTTTTTGGAAGAGGAATACATCGAGGTAAACGTATTCCTTTTTTATTAACAAAAAGTTTCTTTGCAGCTGCATATGCATATTTTATAGCAGAATGGTTATCTTTACATTTACTTCTTTTTAATTCTGATTTTATTTTCTGTATCCCTTTCCTAAATGATGTTATGCCTCGACCTGCTTTGATTTTTGCTTTCATAGCATTTTTAACTATCCATGAAGCAATTTTTTCTCCTTTTCCAGTATCTTTTGATTTAAGCCTTCTTTTAGCCATATTTAACAGTTCTAAGTCTGCCTTANATTCTTAAAATTAAATAACCAATTACAATATCATTTAGTTACAATATCTATTAATATAGGAAATTTATTTATGAAACAGGTTATTATTCCATTAACAACCTTAATTTATTCATACAATTACTTTCTCACATCGTTACTAATCCATAAGTATTGAATCACAATGACCCCACGGTATGCTATGAATCTGATCTTGTAATACTTGAACTTTGTCATCATTTCCCTCTAAAACTTGTTTATCTACTTGTTGAGAATATAAAACATGCTTGATTGATTTTATCATATTCATTTTACTTCTGAGTACTTCATTTTTTAATAAAACATTATTATAATCTTTCAATTCAAGATTTTTAGTTACTGACTTAGACACACCTTTCGCTTTTTTTATCTGAGTTTTAACGCTATTTATAAAATATAACTTTGCACGTAAACCAGTAAATTCTGTAATCAAGTCGTCACCCATTTCATGTTTCCATAATCCGGGTATTTTTGGGTTAACTTGTGGTATGTGAAAAGGGTTATCGATTTCAAAATTGCTAGTATCATACATTTGAATATCATTATGCATCTCATGATAAAAATCGTCTGTGTATATTAAATATAATAAGCATCGACCGCATAAACTAAACAGTTTATAGAGATGAGATTTTATCGTTCTTATTACTCGCTCCACAATGGCTGCCTTTTTAATCGAGTATGTGGAATAATGATTAATGTTATAACTTTTAGTTAACTGTTTGAAAGAATCGTTATAAAACTCAGTACCCAAATCGGTTTGCAAATTTTTAGGCTTTCGCCTCGATTCGATTAATATACTATGCATTGCATTAGTAACATTTTGTTTGGATTTAGACTTCAATGGTCTAACCCATACATATTTTGATAAAGCATCAATTACAACTAGAACATATTTATATCCTTTATTAAATGCTGAGTATTTTTGAAAATCCATGAGGTCAGCTTGCCATAAATCATCTATTCCTTTGATAATTGTATGTCGACGGATGAAGTTTCTTCTCACTGCTTTGTGAAGCTCGTTTACCAGATCTTGTTTACTCATTCTTGCTAGATTTAGCAGCAATCATCACATCAATTTCTTGTTTTGTGTAATAAAATGTAGTCAAATTATTAGTAGTTGATTTTTCTAAACTATTAAGATATTTTTTTATATTACTTTGAATGATTTTCAATTCATTTTTAAGTTCTTGAACACATTTATCCACATACTGTTTATTTACAGCTTCATTATCCTTTTCTGGAGTTAATAGTCCTTTTAATCTCGATGATTTTAAATCAAAATCACCTGAATCTGACTTTACTAATGTGTCAGTAAGAATATTAGTAAATTCAGATAGTCTTAAACGCTTATGAATATGGTGACCGAATTTATCTATATTCATTGCCGTCTGCTCGGCTTCTGCAGTGTAATGGTACTGCCAAAACCTCCTGTTGGAAGCTTTTTATATTTTATATCTTTTATGATACCAGCTTCATACAATTCCTCTATTATTGCATAAATTTCATTATACACTCCAGTGTTACCAGCTGCCCATGATCCGAGTAGTAATTTTAACCTTTCCACTAATTCATTTGGATCATCCCAATAAACTAAATCAGTATCCTTCTTAACTTCTTTCAAAATATCAATTCCTTCACCTTTACTTCGACTTTCTACACTGCTTGTATTTTTCGAGAACTTAAACAAAGGTTTGATCACATTCATATATTTAAATCCTTTGTTACTATTTATAGGTTTAGATGGATCGTAATTACGTTTGTGGGCATTGGTATCCATAAGTATTAACTTATAATTGTGTAAGTCCTCTTCTGTTATGATATCTAAATTTGGCAACTTTTTAAACAATAACTCTTTTAAGCCAAGAGTTTTTTTTAAACTATGATTCCCGATTTTTAGGATGTCATCATCATCATAGACGCGAGTTGTACCAAGCATAAGTTTCCCATGTTCATTTCGAACACCATAAGGTACATCTTTTAGTACTTCAGATGATATAGACCATGATAAAGAATCATTTGGAATACTTGGTGATGACTGAAGTGATTTAAACGAAAAATCATTCGCATCGTAATCATCCTTAGGAAGCGAGGTAGTGAGGGTTTTGTTGGATGTTGTATAAACATCGTTATCAGAGTTTTCTTCATTATTAACAAGATCCTCAAACTCATCACTTGAAGTAATCGATGACTCACTTTCGCTGCACTTAATTTTTTTTATAAGACGATTTTGTTCCGGGTCTTCATTTAATTTCTTCTCTTCAGTTTTTCTAGTTAGCATATTAAGCGGATCAACGATAGGTTTAAATATTGTTTTCAAAGCCAGATCTTTTGTATTTCTTGCATCTTTTATCATTTCTACCTTTCTTTTTACAGCTGTAGCAGATTTTACAATTTGTTTCTTGAGATCTCGTTCCATTGTAAAGGATTCTACTCTGTTCAACTAATCAAATTAAACTGATGGCTTTGTGACATAGCAGCTATTTAAAAGGTTTAGTCTACTAGTATGAATGTATCGAACTTCATTCTGTAACAGCCTTTATTTCGTTCACAATCTTTATTTATAACAACATAATTGAAAGGTTTACTCCATACGGTTGAGCACATTTCACGGAACTGAGACCATGTCATATCAGACCCTACATGTTCATCATAAATGTGTCTCAGATTTATTTCGTCTTGCTTAAACAATATGATCAGGTTTGCATTATCTCTTACTAGTTGCTTAGGTATCTTAGTATAAGTTTGATTAATATAAAAACAGTCAATGTTCTTATGTCGACCCATAGCGAAATAATCACGTATGTTGTTCTGATTTTCACAAGCTACGTCGTCAAATATTATAATTGAGTTAGGTGAAGCTTCGTGTGGACTCAAAATTTCACTATTATTATTATACGTGTAATAAGATGTGCCTGATACCTTCTGCAATACTTTTTCTAAAAATAAGTATTTAGGTTGATATAAAGACTTTGAATATACATAAAGGTTACGGAAACGTGGTCCATTCTGGTGTAACAATAAACTGATAACTAAGTTAGTTTTTCCACAATTCGATGGACCACAGACAATACTACGTATAGTGTTTGGTAGTAAGTTTCCATGACGTTTAACCTCGTTTTTTGATGTAGGATCGATACATTCTAATTTAAGTGATTCTTTTTGTTTAAGAAATTTCATAACAGGTTTGATATATGACTGTATTGTTTGATAGATTTTAATGAACTGACATCGATCACAATGGTGTAGTGGTTTTTACTATGAGCAGAAAACAAAAGGTTACGGTTAAAAAAACACCAGGTATTTCATTTAATCATTTATTCATTACATTATAATCAAAATATAATAATTCTTAAAATTAAATAACCAATTACAATATCATTTAGTTACAATATCTATTAATATAGGAAATTTATTTATGAAACAGGTTATTATTCCATTAACAACCTTAATTTATTCATACAATTACTTTCTCACATCGTTACTAATCCATAAGTATTGAATCACAATGACCCCACGGTATGCTATGAATCTGNATTAAATAGTTTTTTTTATAATTCAACTAGTTATTACTTTCATAGAGATTCTGATAATAATACTTAAATTTCGATTGGCATAGGAATAATGAAGTCATAAAGGGCTCTAAACAAAACACCCATAATCAAAAAGAACAGTCAGTGCCAAGTGTAACATAAGTACCCGCGCATATGGTAAGACTAATTCACTGCCCTAGTTGGGGTGAAGTAAAATAAAAACCAAATTAGGGGAAGATGATGCAACACACCCCTTCGATTTTTGATAAATTCCATTATACCCATATGACGCATTAGCTGATGTATGTTGCTGATCAGTTATTTATGAACTGAATTTGCAAACATTATTTTTAGATAGCATCTGAAGGATTACGTTTTTACATCTCATGTCAATATTAATAATGTGGTGCACGTAAGGTATGAAAAATATGTAAAGTGTCATGTAGAACTCAACGTAACTTAAAATGGTCATATCTTAACATCAAATTTTAACATTGTTAGCAAATAAGATTTACTCGCACTTAATATCACTAAATAATAAATACTATGACTACTAGGAATCGCGCGCGCGGCGCTCGGAGCCGTAACACGTATACTAGACCCGCTGCGTAAAAAAAAATCGTTTGAGTGGTAAAAATTATAAAATAATGGACAAAGTTTATACCCAAGTGAAGCTCGTAAACTAAGCTACAGTTTGGTGAAAACAGTGCAGTTATAACTAT